TTCAGGTGATAAGGTGTGTGTGTGGGGGGGGGGGGTTACCTTGGTTGGTGATTGGCTAATGGTTACACAAGCCAAAACATCGTTATGACATCATAAAGTGGCCAAAATATGATCAGCTCATTTTCAGACAGGTTTTTATATAAATGGATCAGGACAAAAAGAGAGAGAATCTTTTTTTCCTGAAACTTTCAGAATCTCATTCCACAGAGGGGACACATGTTTATGTACAAAAGACATGAAAAGTGGATTTTGCATAAAAGGTGACCTTTAAGACTTAATCATATGACAAAGTTGAACATGAGTTTAAACATCACGCATCCTCAGCGAGGCTTGTGATTCTGTCCCACCTCTCTCTGTGGGGTCGGAGCTGCTCGAGGCGATGGCTTTGAAACCTGTCTCGTCCTGTAGTCGCCTCATTTCTCCGTCTCTGCCCTCCAGCTGCCTCCTCAGTATGGCTAGCTCCTCCTGTCCAACAGAGGACAACAGTGAGGGCCATTCCTTCACACAGACACAGCCTCCCCCACCCCCAACCCCACACTACAAACAAACCACAACACAGAGGATCACAGACGCTGACGTGGCACACCTGCTCTTGTGTGAGGTGAGTAAGACGGCTGGAGTAATAACACAAACAGGAGGGGAAACTGGAGATTTTAAAAAATAATGTTTAAGTGAGCACAACAGGAATCAAGCATAGGGACAGACACATTCAACTGTAAATAGGTTTTAAGATCGACACAAAACAAGGAAAGAAATTGGTAAGAAAATGCAAAGAAAGATTACAAAAAAAAGACACAGGAAGACAGAACTCTTGGAAAATCCAAATTGAAGCATACCTGTGGTTTAAAAAATGGGAATGTTTGCTTTAAGTGGTGTCTTGTAGACACAGGGCTATAACAAGTTTTCAGACTACATTTGACTTTTACATTCTACTGTGCTGCGTGGTTTAGTAAATAGAGTGACTTCACTGTTTGCAAAAAGTGATGCAATTTTGCCTAAAATGGTACTGCTGCAAACCAAATGTTGTGATTTTGTCCCTCAAAAATAAAAAACAGAAGAGCCAAAGGGAGAGGTCAAAAACCATAATCATACAGCAAGCAAAACAGCCATCCTGAGAGAAGCAAACCTTCATGGCCTGGACTTTGTGCTCCTTCCTCTGTTTCTCATACTGCATCTGGCCCATTTTGATTTTCAGGCTAGAAAGCTTGGCCATTAGCAACTAGCATCAGAGAGACAAACCACGGAAGAGAGAGAAAATAGAGATGCAAGATGTGAAAGATGAAAAGAAGGTCAAGAAGATGGAATGACGAAGAATCTACCAAAGATATTTACAAAGCACAATCAAAACAAAGACTGCCTAGCATCAGAGTGAAAGCTTAAAGAGCAGTTTTACGCTTTGTGGGCAAAAGCCTGTTTAAACAATCAGTCATCGAACACCCTCACATCTTCAACAGGGATGTTATCCTCGAGTCAAATGTTGTCAAAACAATCCTACATTTAGAGTATAGAAAACAGCCACCAGAACAAAAAAACAGAGTTGTTTGCTACAAAAAGCATAGAATAAGATGAAAGTCATAAAGAGTACAAACACTGTGGCTGTGCAAACCTCCTTATGACAACTCACCTTGGTGGATTTGAGTTTCTTTTCATACTGCAGTTTTTCACCCTCCAGGTCTGTCATTCTATACCGCAGTTCATTAATCTCAAGAATCAAATCCTGAAAGAATAAAACATTCATATCATTGTAGAAATAATGGAAATCAGATTCCTAAAATACTAAGTAATACTTTTACAGTATGAATATTATTATGGCAGCTCTAAAATTCCGTTCAAAGTTCAACTAAATATTCAAAAGCAGCTCAAGATAAGTTTGACTGTGTTTCTGGGAGAATGTAAATGCTTCAAAGCAGCAGCAGGGATAAAGAAAGAGGAAGCGGCTTTTAGAAGAGGAGTGATTAATGTGCGGCGAGGCAGACAGACACTTTTTGTTCCAGTAGGGTGGAAGGGACAGCCGCTGCTACAACAATAACATGACGTGTTTGAAAGCTTTCCAAGTTGGCATGGTTTCCCTCTGGGGGCAGACATCTCTAGTAAACAGATGATTGACATCTTTATGGTTTTACATATTTCGTATTTAAGGTAAAAAAAAAAAAAAAGGTAATCTACTCCCACAGGGGATTTTTTTACTTAAACTCACAACAAATAGAGCAGGCATATTTTGGTTAGTTTATTTATTTATTTTATTTATTTATGGTTAGTTCATTTTATGCTCCTGCAGAATTTTTTTCTTACTCAACACACAGCTGCTTTGAGGCTGACAGTAAAATGAGGATTCCCTCTCCCACACAGGTGTCAGACAACATGAATGAGGGTCTGCCTGGAGTGTGTGTGTGCGTGCGTGCGTGTGTGTGTGTGTGTGTGTATTGAGGTGAGAGAAAGGACAGGCAGATATAAAGCTAAATCCTGTCCTGA